ATTTTGTGCATTCGTTGCTCAATGCCTTACGCAAGTCACTCGGACATTTTACACCACTCTTGTTGTCTGACTTTCTTTTTGACTGGCCTTCTCTTCTTCTGATATCCAGCCTGCTCCAGTCGTTCTTTCAGAATACTTCCACCGCTCCTTGAGAAGGTGGGTGTGTAACACATTTCTGTTTATCATTAATGAGGCGATGACATTTTTTGATATTATCCCTAAACATTTTATTCTGCATGTATTGTTTGTCTCAGTCTTCATATCTTTGTAACCTCTGGGCTCTGTCATGCAGTCTCATTTTGGTATTTTGACTTACCACGCTGAGATTAAGACCGCTGTAGCCATTAATCCGTTCTCTTCGCAGTATCTTATTAAATTCATTATGGACGTGGGAGCTAGAAACTCGTTGCTGAATTTCACTTAATATAGGAAGGTTCTTTCTATCTACCGATATCTAATTCTTGATTATGCGCTTCCAAAAGCGACCTTATTCTATTTCAATCACTTCCATCTCAACAGCGTTAACTGCAGCGGTTGCGTACATGATGTTATTGAGCTGAGTGATGTCCTTTAGCGTCACGTCTGCGATGTACTTTGACCCCGTATAGAAAACTTGATCATATTATTTCTAATAAAATTTCGAATGTGTTTCAGTATTTTTGGTTAATAATTTACACATCCAAGATATATGTTTCCAAAAATTGTTTGGTGTGATCGAACATAGTGAAATTTTATGAAAGTAATCTAAAGAAAAATTTAAATCGCCGGTTTCCAATTTACAAACTTACATCGTCTATGACTTGCGAAAAGCTGTTTGATCACAATAAAAGTACACAATGTGAAAAAGCATTTATTTTATCGAATTGAAAAAAATAAATAAAATTGGATGCTTTGTGGATTCGAACCTGCGCTCTGCAGTTCAGCTACCCTGTTCTTTCCACTACAAGACGCGTCTTGGTGTACTGGATCTTTATACCGCTATACTTGATACTGACAAATGTCGAGTACACGTTAACGGTACATCAAATCTGTTATAAAAAATTGGAATAATCTTGAAAACTATACAAGATACAATTCTAGAACTTTAAATAGTGCATTAAGGATTACTCCAGCATATTACTATCCAGCATTTTGCCTAATTGTTTTGCATAAAAATAAACGTACACTATATTAAAACTTTTAGACAAAAAGGTCCAGGGAATTATATTTCTTCGAAAAGAAACTGGATTACGTGACCTACTTATTTGCCAAAGTCATGGAACCATCAATAATGTAGCCATGCAGCACATCATGCTACATACTAACTAGGCTAAGACAGTTTGAAACATAATTGTGTCTCCAGTTTGCGTGCTGGCTTTATAAACAGTTCAGTGCATTACAGTGTAAATTATTTTTTTATAAACTTTGAGGCTCATTTGTGATCGTGTCAAAATTGGGAATATGTATACATAAGAGAATGAAGAAATCTTGAAAAAAAAAATTTCTTCGCAACAAAAGGTGATAGACACATCCGCTTTATTTTAAAATGTCCATCATAATGTAGATTTTTCAAATATCGTACCGCATCTGTTCAATTACTCACAAATACGAAATGTTCGAATTTGTTTATAAGAAAAAAGTGTAACTCTTTCGCATAAAAATAACATTCATCTTTCAAAATGGTTTGTGATCCATATATTTTGCTATGAAATCCCGTTTGAACGAACCTTGTTTATTTTTCAATAAACTAGTAGTGATGACCGGTAAAGAGGTGTTTTAGTATAAACAATTAGAATCGACCCCAATTTTGTTGTGGTTATTGACAAGTATAAAGCCTACGGATGTGAGGAATTTCAAGTATCTGCATGACACTATCGACCCATTACCAACAAGAGCCAAAACCTGCATTTTGACTTTGTTTTCGGACCTTTTTATGTGTGGTTTCATTTTGTAGGTCTCGTAAATACCTAAAAATCTTATTTGAAGAGTTTTTCCGTTCCTGACAACACTTTCGATTGAATTCCAAAAAACATTTTCTCATTATTTGTTCTTGAATAAAGATTGGTGTACTCATTTTATGAGTCCATGTTTTAAATACCCATTTGAACAACTTGCATGAATAAAAACAAACTTTACTAATCAGACTAAAACTTTACTGATTAGACTAAAACCCAAATTTTCATAACTATTTTATGTCAACTTTTTGAGTTATCGATCGCTGCAGGTCTTACGTTAGACTCCCTGCACAGGGTATTCCATTTTATAAATTGTGAATCATCCTGTGGAGAGTGAAGTATTTTCGGAAGAACGTATATTTGGTAACAATTTTTGTAACTAAAACTTTTTTAGGAATCTTTAACACACAACTAAAACTCACCATGCATGTATATAGCTCATCTTGACGAGTAACAACTATACTTTTTTCGTAGTCCATTTACGCCCCGGCACAACAATGATGCAGCTCGGCAAAGCGGCAGCCGCCCAAGCGTTGCAATAGCTATTGGTCATTCAGCCATAAAACTACGAACAAGTGCAGGATTCGACAGGATGGAACTCAGGCTCGGGTTATCGCCGGTACGCCAACTCTGGCAGTTGCTGTTCATATTCGGTGCATACATAGCGTGTGTTTATATGTTAGCAGATCGTCTACGGATACAGCAGATGAAACATAATATTTCTCCCAATGCTTTCATCAGCCATGCTGCCTCTTCAGTGATGTATGCTGCCCGAAAACGTGACAAGAAGGGACATTTGAATATTCAGGCAAAAGAAATTGTCCTTAACGTTTATAAGAGCGAAATTTTAGAGCATCCTGAAATGAAAATTCATGATATTGAAAGACGTGTGGCGAACAAAACAGGCTTATGTTCTAAGATAATTTTCAACACTGTAAAAGAATATATAAAAACAAATTGTGTGCACCACACAAGAGGCTACTTTACACGAAGCTGTTGGATACAGTTGATAACTTTGATCGGAATGCCATTAAACGCAAACTCCATCAATTTTTTGTAAGGCAGGAACTTCCCATCATAGACAAAGTATTACAGGAGGTTAATAGTGATGAAGACTTAGCTACTTTCAAAAGAACCACATTCTATAATTTACTCAAAGAACTTTATTTTGAGTATAAAAAACAAGACAAATAGTATTTTGATGGACAGCCAAGAGATTATTTTAAGGAGAAGAAATTATTTAAAATCAATAAAGAAATACCGCGACCAGGGCAGGAAGATTTATTACTGCAGGACATACAAAACCTAACGTATGAGTTGACTCTAAAATTAAATCAGCAAGACAAGCCTTCTTAGATGGCCTAAAGAATCCGTCACGTTCGTGTGTTTAACCAATTCCCCATTCGTGTTGTAGAAATGGTGTCAAGTAGACTGAATCTATGAGCCCACGTTGAAAACTTAGCTACTCTAAACTTAGATATATCTAGTAAATTTGGAGCCAACACCTGTTTGATACTCTGCTTGTATTATTATTAGTTTTCTTGAATAGTATGTGAAATAATTATTTCCAGAAAAGGAAAAACTATTTGTTATCTGTCACATTGGCAGTGAACATGGCTTTGTGCCCACTACCCTATGGACCGACTAGCACGAAGAAATGGACGGGAGTTCATTTTAACGATGGTTTGAAGAAACACTCCCAAATCTTGACGACATTGTACTTGATAATGCTGCATACCACACTAGAAAACTAGAAAAAATTCCCACAATGTCCACAAGAAAGGCAGACACTCAACATTGGTTCCTATCAAAAGACAATAGTTTCATTGAAAATACGGTCAAAGCAGAACTTATCCATCTAGTCAGGCAGCATAAATATAAATATAATCTTAATGTGCGAATTAAGTCCCATTAAAATGATTTGGGCAAATATAAAAAACTATGTGGCTTCAAACAATAGAACATTAAAACTTTCTGACGTGAACAATTTGTTTTATGAAGCTGTCAACAGAGTGAAGGCAAACCATTTTAAAGACTGCATCCGTCACGTACAAGAGACAATCGAAACAATGATGTCGGATCTGGACAATATGTTCGATATTCAAATGGAACCTGTAATAATTAACGTTAACTATTAACCATTCGGACGATGATTCAAGTACAGCGAATAAAGAATTGTGAAAAGTATGTGCACTTTCTATAAAATAATCATTTATTTTGCTAGATTATTAAGACCATTGAGGAAAATATGGACCTGTACAATCTCGCTTTTGGACATGTGTTTTGTCTTGGCGTAGATGGACTATGAATGGGGTATACTAACACATTGGCGTTTTAAGTGAACTGTTCTTTAATTAGTCCATTTATATCCGGTTGCACCGCCTTTTTTAAATCTACCGCTAAGCAAAGGAGATCGACCACAAATTATGTTTCTGATTGCACCATCGTGTCTGGAGAAAAAACTTTGTTAAGATCAAGTTATATTTAACAACACTGCTTCTATAGTAACTTTTTAGTGGCATTACATCTGCAACAACAATTTTATTGATTGACTTTGTTGTATGACTATGTGTATGAAAATCTGTCACATTTGGTCACAGTATTTCAATAAGGCATTCTAATAGAAATTGATGTACTTGAGGGTGCCCATCATTATAGGTATTATGGTAGATCTGTTCTTATCAATCGGATAGGAATTTGACTCTGTTACCTTAGCCTTAATATGAACATAGATGTATGTGCGTTATCACAACTCAATATAATGATTCATCAATTTCTTCAATATATACATTCATATTTCTAACTTTTCAAACAGTAATTTGAAATCGTTATATTCGACTGTCAAGTTGTCTAATCTGAATTACATTTTAGGTTACAAAATCCCCCATGAAGTAGGGGATATCGTCGATTTAGCTTATTTGTCTACGTTTCACTCAAGTGTTGTATCTGGTGCAACACAAATATTGAAATTTAGGATCAGCTTAGCTTAAGGTCAACCTTACCAAGGCAGTGCAACTGGGTATGAGATCTTCAATCTACTTTTTGTCACTGGTTGTTATCTTACAGCTGGCGGCCCTCCCAACCGTGGTTTACCGCCACCTCATCCATTGGGTTTCCCAGGAGGTCCACGCGGAGCTGCTGGTAAAACAAGTGTGATGTCTATACTTGACAGAGCACGTATGGCCATGGAAAATAGTTACGGTTAGTAGACCATATTGTTTGGCCATATCCCTTATCGAAAAATTTTGCCTAACTCCTTCAAGCTAATTACACAAAATATCTTACTGTTGTCAAAATTGAAGGGCTGAGGAAACTATGAAAAAATAAGACAAAATCATGGTGATTCGTATGCATAATGCTACAGGTTGAGGCTTGAGGTTTTTGTTAAAATGTTGGTCAAATATGGTCAAACATTTTTTCGCTTTTTTGAAGTAATCCTTTTACAAAATATGTTTTATACTAAAAAAAGGTGACAGTCTTCCCGAACTCTGTAGTATTGGTATCATGGAAATAATTGAAATCAGTGGATAAAGGAGCCATGTAATATTTTTGAAAAAATTACTTTTTTTGCATAAACTAACTTAAGGAGTGATTCTTTCATTCTCTGATTACTTTATTGCAAAAACAGGATAATAACAAACTAATTAAACTAAATATTTAAAATTTCAATAAAGTAAAAAGTCCCAATAAAAAATGTTTAATGTCAATTTTCTCCATACAGTGATTTTGTTACATGATACCTTTATCCACTTGTGTCTTCAATTATAAATCGATAAAATATAGATCAAACCTGTGAACTTCGCGTAAAAGGTGATACTTTTGTCTCTCTAAACCAACATTGCAATTCCAACCATGACCTTGATCCTGATTAATCCCATCTTCATCCTGAACATCCTGTAGAATCTACAGTGTAGATTTCTTCTGATCCACATTCTCGCTAGTGGCATAATTTTTTGTTCTCAATGAACTAATATTCCACCTGCAAATGTTTTTATTGTTAGACAACAATAAAGTAACAACCAGTAAATAAACTCTATTATATCAAACGATACTGGGTGAATTTGGGTGGTCTTTTTCGCAAACCATTTTTGCGTAAAAAATCAGATAAATACTTTTTTAACGTCTATCAACAATAATGTCTCCCGTTCAACACTGAGTTGTCAAAATTTTAACTTGTTAGTTGCTCTACAGAAGAGCAGACTCGCTTGTGAACTGCAGGGGCTGATCATAGTATGACGTAAGGAATTCGCAATAACAAACTCTGTTGAATATAGTGTTAGTATCTCAGAAACGGTAAGAGACATGAAGTCTGTTAAATGGGAAACTAGGTAACTAAAAAAATAACGCTTAGAAGGCTTCGCAGTTCGCAGGGGTATTACATAAAGCTTCGAAAGTATTTCCGGACATGAATAAAAAAGAATTTTAAAATGAAAGGCACATTAACATTAACCCTTTTTTGTCTAGAGTGTGGCATAATTAGAATTTCGATATTTCGTTTCGTTGCTTGTTCTCAATTATAAACTTTATTTTCTCTTACTGACGCCATATTGGATTATTGTGTGAGTGAATAGAGTTTTTCATTCTGGTTTCAAAAATATGTATGTCATACAAGAACATTAATATCGATGGACAATACCACGTAACATCAAAATTTAAACAATTGGGTTTTTGGTATCTGTGGGTCAATCTATCACCACCAAGTTAAACGCAGCAATGTACTCTCATAGAACCCTTTTTTGCACGACTAGCTGTAATAACAGGTTTCAGATATCACTAATGCTATACCAGGTAGCATCAATGCAATTCAAAATTTTTATATTTCTAGTTGTTTTGGTCTATGTATAGTATTTTGTTTGAGTTGAAGCGCGCTATCAGGTAAGTAATTCATGAATATTCTAAACGTCTTTCGAAATCGAAATTTGTGACTAATTATTTATGATAAAAATAAACACGTAAATAAAAATCCGGGGTTTGATAGGTGTTATTTCTGATAGTATGAGGATGAACCCATATTGAAAAAATGTTTTTTCTCGTTTCCTGAAAAAGTAGCCAAATGTTTGATAGTTGGTTTTGATACTAGACTATCGATATTGTAACTCCAATTGTTTAAGAGAAACAGCATTCCCTATGTAGCCCTTGAAATTATAAAATAGTCATTTGTTTCATATATCAGCCCAGCATTCTTTCACTTTTTATGAACTGGATATAGGTAAATACTCCCTATTTCCGATTTTAATGTGATATTATACATAACACATGGATCGAAGAGGATTCAAAAAAAGTAATCTTCCAGTCGATCTTTACTCATTGAATAGAGAACAAGATAATGCTAACCTTCCCATATTATTTGATTGTAGCAAAAAACATTGAAAATTATATAATTTTGAGAAACTGATAAATAATAAATATTTTAAAGTGAAAGTCTCGACATTTTTGCAGGCTGCTAAATATATTTTATATCCGTCATATCTTAACCGATGCATTTAAATAATATTCATGTACGGTTAAGGTGACATGTATCTGAATGTCCACGTTTCCAAATAACAAGCAATTTTTAATTCATGGTGAAAATACTAGTTTTTAAAAAACCTGAGGCTTGGCAATGTCATTGTATGACATCATACATTTTGGAGTCAGAATAAAAAACTATTCATCCATTCAAAAATTGAAGACAAAAGCCGAAACATCATATCGAAATTTCAATTACGCCATCTTATAGAGGAAAAAAGAGGACATGTTAATTATACAGGGTGTCCGCAAAGTTGGGGTTTTCCTTTACACGACGTGTAGATCTTGAAAACATAAGCAATTTTTCTTAGTACCATATACACCAATGTCTTAAGGGAACCGAGATAAAGGGCTCGGCAACATCAAAAATATCTGAATACCGTCCTGTAGCCGCGACCCGGCGCGATATACCCGACTGTTACAAGGTCTCAACCCGACGGCAGAATTGGGTCGGGGTCAGTGTGTCAGGTTAGTATGCAACCTTCAACCGAAGGTTACGGTCACGCGTGTAGAGGTAAACGAACTTCTCGTTAACTGGAGAGTGAGTACTTTTTCCTTTATTTTTTTTTACTTGCTCGCCCTCGTTACACTACACATTACCTTTGTTATTTCAAGGGTAGTTGTTTCTGAAAAGGAAAACCCCAACTTTGCGAACACCCTGTATTTATGATTCTTTTTTTATTTTCGCCTATATAAATACTCTGAATTGCGAAACTTGTCATTTTTTGCACCATTTAACAGACTTCGTTTCTCTTACCTTTTCTGAGATACCAACGGTGAGAGTCCTTAGCTACATCTTTCTCAGACCTCTCGAATGAACAAGCGAGTCTGCTCTGCTGTAGAACAACTGACTTCCAAGTCACAATCCTGACAATTTTCAGATTGCACTGGTAGGCATATAAACATTGAGTCATATGTAGCCTCTACCCCAACCACTACACGATGCTTTAACCCATTTATGCCTAAAGAGTTGCAAAAAAGTTTTTTTTATATTATTTTTTAAAAAACCTTATTAAAAGACGACACTTTGGAGGTATTTTCAACTTATTCTAAAAAAAAAAAATACATAAACAGTTAGATTTTTAGGATGTACTATACATAGTACATTAAGAATAATAATAAAAAAAATATTGAAAAATAGTACAAATATTTTGAAACCCATCAATATTGCAAATTTTAAAGAGTATGATATTGAACAAAACATTTCACGTGAAGGCCGACATCACATTTTCTACATCTAGTAGTCGTGCGCTCATGAATGACAAAATGATCTAAGCGATCATACCTTGTCACCAAAATTTCTTGATTTACCTGGCAGGTACGTATAAGTCTTCTTATTTTGTGTCAAGATAGTTGTAGCTACACTTCTTCTAAATTGTAATTGATCCACGTTATTTCCTCTCTTTTTATAAATATGCAAGGCGTTTGTCAGTACACCTAACTTTATCATAACCTCACAAACAAAGCATAAATGAAACACATCATAAAATCATAAAATCTAGAAGCCGCAACTAAGGAAATAATATTTTCATAAAAATAAACTAGTTTTTTTTATTTTATGTCATAAAAAACCTACTTACTTTGCAAAGCGCACGCCATATTCATTCATCTTCTATTTTCCAATATACAAAAACTGATTTCACATACAAAATATTGCACAATACGCAAAATTACTCCGTACTGTACGAGATCCACCCGCAAACTGTCGCCGCGAGCCATTCAATTTAACCAAATCGTACAGATATCTACAGGAACAAACAAGTTTAGGCTGTACTATTCATAGTACATTAGGCATAAATGGGTTAAAGCGGATCGCAAGAGAAAAAAGCGTGAGGGCACTTGAAACTGCCGAGATGTCCCAAAAGTTGCAGAGATCTCCACGTGAATTTTCTCCTACAACGTGCTATGCAAATTTTTTATCGTTATTTCATGATATTCTGGTGTTATAATGTTTCCTCTAAACGATCGTATGGACAGAACGACGTGTCTGATGTCTGGGCCCCTGTTGCTCTCCTTTTCTCATACCTGGCGCTTCAAAGAATGAATTGCGAAACAACGTGTTCTTAACGTGTACACAGATTCAAATTAACTAAAAAGCCATATCAAGTGGGGATGTGCTGTTTGTTTACATTTGGTGTGGATTTCTAGAGCATACATTGGTAATAAATTGTTTTTGATGTAACAAGATGAGCTCATTTTAATACTTTTTATATCCTTTTTTTTGCAAAATAAAAAAAGGTACATCCCTACAGATACGTATTATGTAGAACACCCTGTATATGATATAGAGATAAAACTTGATTGCCATGCATGGACAGTCGTCAAAAACAGTTAAAACATCCTATTAACCCTTTCGCAACGGAGGACTTGTTACGAAATCTGTCTGTCGTTAAAAAAAAAACGCCGCTTGCTGATTTATCCGCTTCCCGTTCCAAATCAACATTTTACGTCGCGCTGATCTATCCGCTTCCCGTTAGGAATGACTATACGTCTTTGTATTTTTTATTACATTCTTTAATGAAATAGCCATAATTTAAACATTTCAATTTCCAAAGACATTTTCATACAAAAATGTTATTCAAAAATACCAATACATACATATATTTATGTATATAACAAAAACATAACGAAATTAACAAAATCTGAATATACAAATGCAAATGGAACGTTTAAAATTTTATTTTGCACTTCGTCGCCGGGTTGCAGACATTGCACACTGTGACGCCTAGTACTTGTACTAGGATCATCCAACGCCAAATTTATGACTTCCAGTTCCTCTTGAACAGTATGCCGGACACCATGGCCTCTAACTCCGGGAAGTTTGGTCTTATAAATGAACGCGTGAAAACCTTTGGGGTAGGTTGGCGTCTGTTAGGAAATCTACGTTGATACTCCCGAAAAGCCGCTAAAGCATTTCCATCACATAACCCGTACACAGAAATAATATCGGCCTACTCATCATTGATAAATTCCATTTCACAACTTTTGACTTGACTTTTACAAAAAAATTGTAGTAGTAACGATAACAACCGTATAACACAACTTTGACAAAGAATCTCCCAAGAAACGTCAATTTGGTATCAAGGACTCCTATTTTATTTTGAAACTTATTTGTTTTATTTTTATTTTTACGAAAACTGCACTCAAGGAAAAAACACAAGAGTAATTATTTGTAGCAAATTGGAGGTAAAATTCGAAAAATTGCGCGAAAAAAAAAAACAGTGGCGTACTATTTTTCTTTGGAAAAATAATGTCACTGATCCCCTGTATCTCCGCCACTGGCGTACGTTAATTTTGAGTAAAGACTTTTAAATGTGGACAATACTTAGATAAATCCACATACCAAATTTTAGTTCATTCCAGTTGACGGGTTTGAAGATATTAAAAAAAGTTATTTTTTATTTTTAAATTTCAACACTCCGTATCTTTTTAATGAAGCCCTCGAGGAAAAAATGTTACATAGAAGACCCCCTTAAAATGCGGTCGTGTGTATGATATTTCATTTTTGGTCACGGCTTGTGAATCACCCAGTATTAGTTTGTTCAACAATCGTTTTGATCTTGATCGGATATTTTTCCATTCCTCGGCGTCGCAATCGAAATCGCCTTCAGACTCGCTTATTCTGTGATATTTCTAACAACCCCTGATCTGTTAACTCACTATGAGACATTTCGAAGATAAATATAACGTAAAATAACTAAAGTACGCGTTCGAAGAATAATGCTCAAGTAAACGTACTGCAACCTGTCTTGACGGTGCCACCTGTTTCCCGTACACTACCTTTTTTTTGCGAATATAACCGGCTCCCGTTGCGAAAGGGTTAAATATAATAGCTAGAAAATCTACCTATTTCTTGTATTTTCAATGGTCAATTCAAATAAGAAGAAATGATAGAAATTGGCAATTCTAAAAAATTTAACCTAATTTTAAAGCTCAAAGACAAGACGTCCAAATTATTTATAGAACAACCACTTTTTACGATTTTATTCAATATTCCGATAGAAATTACTGATATTACGAGAGATTTGACAGTTTCCGTCAAATTGCATTTCAATAAGCTGTTCCCTAATTGGCCGAAGACCCCGTTAAATTTCAATGTTAGTGAAATCCACCCTAATATTTGTCAACGTGAAAGGATATTAGAATGCTCATGCTCTGATCAATACACTTACATGAATATTTTGTAGCGTATAACGTACCTCCAGATTGAATGAAAAATAGCAGTGTTGTCGGATGGTCTATCAGGGAAATTTTACGATCGTAGTGCTGCCAAATGAATGGGGACTTAGGGACTAATTGTATAAGCCTATTTGTTTGACTTGATGCATTTAATTTTTTCTCATAAGGGCTAACTTTTGACGAACATAATACTTTATGAAATTACGACAATTGATTGTGAAGTGCAGAGTCAACCTACTTGACGCCATTTTTCTCCCAACAGGTGGAGATGGTATGGGTGACGAGTATATGGAGGATGAATATGAGGAATACCCGCCAGCGGTGCCGCCACGTGGAGGACCTGGCGTCGGTGCGAGAAGACCTGCTCCAATCACTCCCAAAGGTTACGATGAATACGATGAAGATTATTATGCACCACCTCCCAAACGAGCCCTCAAAGCGCCAGTTACAGCCGCATCTGGTCGATTCGGTGGTTAGTAAGAACTGATCTTATCTGAGTACTCGGCACTCATTGAATTATGCGTATAAAAGAGGGGTCAATAGTACCAGTGGAGCTTTGTGTCTGACCGTATACGCTCCTTTTATTTCATCTCCTCTTCTCTCATTATTTTTTTTTACGGGTTGTGTCAAACTGTTATGAAATTGCAATATAATGATAAAATATATTTTTATGTAAAAGCAACAATTGAAGTTTTGATGACGTCCAGGTGCCATCTTTTTTTCTATAAATATATTCTTCTTTACTAATGACGCGCCAGTAGGCTGTCAATATTTTGGGAGTTTTTGTACATTGACTAACTTATTAAAGACCGATCGAAATGCCATAGTAATAATAATAGCTTTTATTGTCCAACATATCACATCCATTCACAAAGCAAAAAATGTAAACTCAGTAGTACTTAAGTACTTAATACTACAATTGAAAATATCAGGATGTTGGCAGATTCTATTATGGTTCTTACAAACTAATGATACGGCTAACTTATCATCAGATTTGTGTTCACAGCAGAACAGAAAAAATTAGCACTGTCTCAGGAATTAAATTGCGGCATTCTCAATCTGATTCAGGATATAAGATTTGAATAATCAATTTCATTGTGCAAGATTCCATCTGAACTCCAAACTGTATGTCATAAATATTTAATAGAAGTTATTAATATTATATACCTTGTTCTGAGGTATATAGGGTGTCTGGGAAAGGTTGGGAAATCTCGAAACTGGAGATACTACAGACCAAAATATGTGAATTGACCTAAACATACCTTTGCCCAAAAGTTGATAGTTTGCGAGATACAGGGTGTCAAAGTTACAATTTTATTTTCTATTTTTCCTTATTGCTTGAGAAGTATTTCAGATTTTGGCATAAAACTCGGTATATGGAGGTTTTCTGGTATGAGAAATAAGAATCCGTAATTTTTTCTGGCCAAACTTCTGGAGGGCGCCACTTACAGCACTATTTCGGTAAATAACTTATCATAACTTGTGCTACCCTGTATACAACAACTGACCGAAAATTCTTATTTTCTCGTATTTCCACAAAAAATGCTTACTTGTTAGAATTGTCTAAAGCTAATAGCTTTCGAGATATTTGTTTTTAAAAGTTCCAATGCATTATTTGTACCATGATGATAAAACATTTTTCTTAACAATAATCAAGTTGCTTTGGATAATATCTGAGTGGCGTTGCTATAGTTTTTAACAATAACAAATGAGGATGGCAATAAAACTAATAAACGGAAATAATAACTACAAAAATTGTTCAAAATGAACACCACCTTGCATAACACTCTCGAGCTCAACGAACTAATCTTTGCTGCACTCTCCAAAGCATTTACACGATACAGGTCGTGATCGGCCTATCCTCTGGTCTGGATAAACTCTATTTAGGTGCTCTCTAATATACTAAAATAAGGTGGAGCGCCGTGGTGCATAAACCACATATTTATGCGTGTTTGTAATGGAAGATCTTTCAGCAGAGTGGGTAATTGTTATTCAAGAAATTGTAAATACGTTTGGCCATTTAGTCTAGGTGGTAACTCAACGGATCCTATTAAATATTTTCCAATTTCCTGCTCATAAATTGAGTTAAAATTGTTCTTGGTGGCAGGTTTGTATTATTGCATGAGGATTTTCGTCCGCATAAATGTAAAGGTTATGCGAGTTAATGGGCCCATCCCTTCCAAATCCTGCTTCGTCCAAAAATGATACTAACGAAGTAAAACCATTGTCGTGGTTAAACTTCCTTAAGAGCCATGTAAAAAATTCTACCCTTGCACGTTCATCATCCGCGCTTAAACCATGTACTTTTTGCAGGTTGTATGGATGGAGAAGTTGCTTTTGAAAAATGGTATTTACTGTACAATTGGAAACTTGAAATTCTCGAGCTACATTCCTAACCCCAACTGTAGGATTTTCTAAGTCAGCATCTGAAACATTTTCTTCAACTTCAGCTGTACGTACAGTTCTGGCAGCTCCACTATGTTGGCCCATATTTTGAGCAAAACTACCTAAACTCCAAATGGTTTTTACTACTCAAAATAAGGCTATAATCATTTCTTACCAGTTTCTCGTAACCGCTGATCAATTCGTTGGAAAGACTTTGAATTAGGCAGGTGTCTCTTGGGGAATCTGTCAGCGTACAATCTTCGTGCTTTTAAAGCACTACATCTTGCCAATCCGTACATTAAATGCATATCAGAATATTCTTCATGATGTTTAACATCACTTCAAATTATTCATGAAGTTTAAAGCAATATTATGACAAACATTAGGAACCACAGCAACGCTACTCAGATATTATCCAAAGCAACTTGATTATTGTTAGAAAAATGTTTTATCATCATGGTACAAATAATGCATTGGAACTTTTAAAAACAAATATCTCGGAAGCTATTAGCTTTAGACACTTCTAACAAGTAAGCATTTTTTGTGGAAATACGAGAAAATAAGAATTTTCGGTCAGTTGTTGTATACAGGGTAGCACAAGTTATGATAAGTTATTTACCGAAATAGTGCTGTAAGTGGCGCCCTCCAGAAGTTTGGCCAGAAAAAAATTACGGATTCTTATTTCTCATACTAGAAAACCTCCATATACCGAGTTTTGTGCCAAAATCTGAAATACTTCTCAAGCAATAAGGAAAAATAGAAAATAAAATTGTAACTTTGACACCCTGTATCTCGCAAATTATCAACTTTTGGACAAAGGTATGTTTAGATCAATTCTCATATTTTGGTCTGTAGTATCTCCAGTTTCGGGATTTTCCAACCTTTCGCAGACGTATAAGATGTTTTAAGAATACTAGAAATTTTAAGAAGTGTAAAAATCGAAGTCTGAGAAAATTGAATTCATAATTCTGTATTATTTCGAACTAAGTAAATAGTATTATTACAACATAACAAAAGTAGATGAATATTGCAAAGTTACATGATAGCAGAGTGTCATTTAAATGTGATTTCGGATCGTAATTATTGTCGGGGTCTAAAATACATGACATTCCGTTTTTAAGGCCCGACTTTACTACTGACCGGCGGGAATCAAAATTTCCGCCTATGGTACAAATTGGACCAGTAGGAAAGCGTCTTGTTAGTAGCGAAGTAATGGATCTAATGATTTTGATTGATTTCTTTGTCTCTCAAACTAGCGAAAAATTATTCGATTTGTGCAACCAAATGTCCATATTAAAACAAAAACGCTTGATAAATTAGCTAGTTTAGCTACAACAACCTACTTTTTAATTCATGACCGAACACAAAAGTTGACGTACTTTCCATCGATCAAAAAGATTTTCTGAACTAGTCGAAACATGGATCATACCTGATTCAATAGATTGACATAGCGCCAGTACTGAGCATTGTATTGAAAATAAGACTGTTCCTGTACAAAATTCTGCTTGATAAATTCTTTGAGGAGACAAAATTACAGAGAGCTTATTCTTTAACAAACATCGAGTGAATAATCTCACTTAGTTACTGATAACAGTAAGGTGTCGCGCACTCTAGTGGATGATAGGACGACTTGACGATCACGCTAACATCCGTATTTTCAATCATATACAAATTTAATTGCTGTCACATTAATCTAGATCTATATGAGCATGGCCGCTAATTTGGTATTCGGACACAAACGAAGAAACAAGTTTTTGTAGCTAAACCAAGTAATTTACCTATGGCGCATTTCTTGATTTAATATGGGATGGAGGCCCATCTAACAAAAATCGTATAATTTTTCTCATGTTTAAGAGACCTTTTACGAGAAATAGACCATATTCATTAGATGCATTACTTCAAAGACGCCTTCTTATTGGATGAATTTGTGTACCACGCTCTTTTTTGTGCCCCAGCTTAGTAAAATCGGGCCTAATGGAGAAGTTTCGTGATATTCAGAATCGCATAAGTAATGAGATACCAGCAAAATATAGACTAAATATAATCAGCCAGTGAACAAATTATTGAAATCGGCCAATAAATGACAGAAATTGATACTTAAATTTGGCGCATTATAGCGCGAAATTATTGCTGCCGTTCGTTCGCGTCTGACGTCACACTTCTCTAGTGCCGCGTCTCGTCGCGTGTTCGACAACGTCTGTGCGTTTAGTCATTAGTCTATAGACAATTCATAAGACACACCTGTGCGCTCGGACACGTGGTTTCCAGTTGATAACTAATGAGTTCTGCTACTAAGTTTATACCATTATGGAAGCCGGATTTGTAAAAGGCTTAAGTGATAATTTGCCCAAAATTGACATATATGCCGTGATGGAGTTCATTTCTTCAAATCCATCATATACAGGGTGGCCCATCCATGTGTGGACGGAATATTACTCATAATCAAATACATTTTGGGAAAACCTATTTATGGCATGTTATACATGACATTTGAGGGCACATTTTTAAAATATTGGCAATTATACAGGGTGTCCCAATTTTGACCTACATATCAAAGTTGTGATTTTTCAAATGGAATGCCTCCAATTTTATTGCATATTTGGATAAACCAATTCAAAAGAAGAAGATTGATATAACATACTATGGGGTTTCGGTAATTAGTTACTGAGATGTAAGGTGTAAACTGTCCACTTCGGCAACCCCTAAATCCGACATTTTGAAATTTGAAGTGCTGAATTTTGTATCAAAAAAACTTACACACCTCAGCTTTTATCTTATCTGTTACTTTTTCAAATTTTCATTTTTGCTCATACAAGTCCATCGGTGTCATATCTGGTGATCTAGGAGGCCAAGATATAGGCCCATCACGACCGATTCAACGATTGTTACTCCAGGTGTCCGAATAGCTACGCACACGATTATGATAATGCGCAGGTGCGCCGTCATGTTGGAAGTACATATGCATCCGAGTTCGTAGGTTGATATCCTCCAAAAGCAAAAGCTCGATCAAAAAATTCATGTATTCTGTACCTGTTAATCTGTTGTCGAAAAAGAAAGGCCCGATAACTTGTCTGCCAATAACTCCTCGCCAAACATTCAAGCTCCATTTGTTTTGGAAATCTATTTGCCTAACCCAGTAAGGGTGCACATGCACACAGTAAAGAGTCAACCTACTTGACGCCTTTTTAGGGGTTAAGTGACACTATAGTAGCTCACAGCTATTCTCGCTGTATGTGTGCCTATGCATGTGTTTAGAAGATTGAGTCGACTTGGGCCCAGGAATCGGCCGCGGGCGTTGTAACTGGATACTGAAATGTGACGTCACGCGTATGCTAATAACAAAAAAATGGTAAACTTGTCCATTGTCGTAAATCAAAAAGAAGTAACATGTGATTTACTGCTTTTATACTCTGCAAAACCAGATTTACCGCTTTTCCTTTGCAAAACCAGTTTTACTGTTTTTTTCGTGGTTTTCTTAATCTATTTATACTGGGTGTCCAGGAATAAATTTTCCTTTTTAAACTCGAATAACTTGCAACAGTGGAACTTAGCACAGTGGGCTTTAGATAGTGGATCGATGCAGATTATTTAGTAGAAATGGAGCTCTGGTCTGGTGCGCATCGTGCGTTCATTATTGAGGCATATTTCAAGAACAGTGACTCGTACACAATTGCAAGATGAAGGTTTTGAGCTCACTTCAATATTAGGCGTGTGGAGGACGCGTCAGGTAAAAATTTAGTGAAATCGTGGGTGAAGAGGTTTAGAGAAACATCATCAGCTAATAATACAAGGTATTTCAAAGTGAAATGCAGAATTTTATTTTATTCGTATTGAAATTCACATAAATAGCTCACAACTAATCTTTTCATCATGATAATTCAATTTAATAATTACATCATCAAAAATAACAAATGAACTGAAACAAAATATTTTTTTACATTGTAAGTTGAAAGAATATTTTTCCAAATTATTCTTTCGGAACAAAAATAATTATTTATAATGGCAAATACTGATTCGCGGGTAATAGAATTATTGCATAAAAAAAACTAAATAAGTAAACATCATGATAGGCTATAAAACGATAAAAAACAGTACTTTCACCATATACAATATATAAAAGCAGTACAGATTGAAAACTACCGCTATAACTAAATTGATTTACTGCTTTTATGTTTAGGAAATGTAATTAATAAGAAATACTTGACAAAGTGAAAAAAAAACTATTTTTGTTAAATAACGTGATCAGTGATATATTTTGTAATTGTAATCATAAAAGAAATGTATTCAAAATTTAAAAATGGCAGAAAATGAGATTTTACCTAAGTATGTCAGTATAATACGTTATATCCATCTTCTTTTCTTTTGCACAATATATCCAAATATATAGTGAAACAACGCATTCCATTTAAAAAGTAGCAGAGTTCAATAAATAATAGTAATGAAGTTTTTTTTATACTCCAACTACCACGAAGGCCTAAGGCCTAAGCACCCATTGGGTACCGTGGGGCTATAGGGGGATACATCGGAAAGGGGGGACGCCACACGGACTCTGGCGAGGGAACACGTGTGCATGCAACATGCACACATTCTGGCTCCGCCTACGAGAACCGCCGGGTGGTACCTCCGCGTTCGACAGTCAAGGACCATCTACAACCTACGGACAATCACAACATCCATAGCCAAGAGACAAATTTCTCCTGGGACGGGACTCGAATCCGCACAGCGCACGGCGACTGATCAGGAGACCGAAGAGTCTACTACTGCGGCCACCGCTGCTGCCTAGTATTGCATATTTTATTGCATACCCGAATAAACCCTTCCAAAAGAAGCTTTGTATAAATACAACATTTTTTTTCATTAGTTATTAGATATATAGGCGAGTCAATGTACAAAAACATCCGAATTTGACAGGTCGTCAATCCATTTTGAAAAGTAGTACTTTGTGTTTTACAGCTACACAGTATTCACAAGGACCTTAAAAGTGATGTATCATATTACACCATATACCATTTAAAAAATCTAAACGGTGCCCAGTCGCCAACTTGAAATTTTCAACTGCCAGTTTACTCGTAATGCTTAAATAGTATACATGCATCAGTTTTATCATCCCGAATTTCGACATACTAACTTGACCGTTCCAAAAAATTAATATGGAATATTAAGGAAAAACACTGTGAAATAAAGCACTTTTGCTCTATGTTTCGAAAGAAAGCATCTACTGGTTTTTCTTTAACCGATAATAATTCATCTATGAACAATATGATATTACTTTGCGAGATAAAAAGATGTTTGACACCCGTATTACGCAACTTGAAAAGTGACATCATGTCGATTTTCAATGACATTATGTAGGTTTTTCTCGAAAAAATGTCACCTTGGAACGAGCTGTCATTCAGTTCATGTTCGTTTGTAGTAGCTGTGCGTGTTGCCTAATCGTCATGACACTTGAGCTATATGGCTTGGCTCTGACTTTTTCTGTCCCCCAATGCTCTCAACTTGCAGCGTAGTTTTCAATCAACTCATATGAATCGAACCCTTTCTAGCTAATAGATGTATAATCTTTAGACTATCTCGGCAACCCACAAAGTATACTGGCAAAATATGAGTTGCAGTATCTTAGGTGACATGGTCATTGAGCCATTCCTCCATAAATTTCGTACACAGAGAGTAGGCGTGGAATGGGCTAGCCACTACTTAGTTCACAAGTTGACATACCGAATTTAATAACTTTATGTCGATGTTTTACGTAATACCCCTACCGCCGGGGACTCGACCGATAAATGAAAATGGTAAAAGAAAATCGTTTCAGATTATATTTCTGATATTTTTGAAAAACTGAACATGATCATTCTGGTAGTATACTTGTAGCTCTGGATGTAAATTGTTATCCATATTTAGATTTTATGAGAATTCCCCGAATAATACCTGACACAGTAAGATAACTACACACGGTATAACATCCTTTTACAATCAATAATATAATATCCTTTTACAAATCAATATGTTCATGGAATGATATTGGCCTAATTTAATCGAAATATGTTGGCAGATTCCTCATCCTCCCGACCATTCGGCGGACCTGCTAAGGGTAGAGCGCCTATATCCGGAGGTATGGCGCGTTCTACTGGAGCTGGTCGTTTCAGATCAAACCAATATTAGATTTTAACTCATGAAATTTATTATTGTAAGGGAAAATTGTCTTAATTTGATGCTAATTATATCAGACATAGTAAGTTGTAATTAAGAAATAATAAAAGTAAAGTAAGACCTAACAATAAAAAAAAACCTAATTAATCCTACTGACGGAAAATACTGAATACTTGCGATTATAAAAGCCTTAATAAATTTAAGTAAAGTAATATACATTCAATATAATTAGTACAAAAGTATAACACTACAGAATTTCAGTGAAAATAGATTACCAATTACAAGATGTCTGTCTAAACGATAGCTCATAACAATTGATACTGTTTAAGCAGCTTACTATTGATATTAGCTATATTTTATCCAACAATTTTCCCAAGTTTTTAAGCTTCAGATCTAATAGGTATTAAGACTTTGTTTAATATTACTCCGTTGATAGAAAAATGACAAGAAATAAACATTAATGCCATATCGTCAGCTTTAGTTTGACATTTAAAGCAAAACTGTATCATAAATATTTGAAAACTATCATATATAGACAGCTTAAAAGACAATTTGAACTAGAGTTTAGTGTAACTGAAACAAATATGAGAAATAAATACAAGCGGTTATGTGTAAACCAAATAATGTTGTTCCAGTTATATGCAATGATAACATCCATGAAAGCTGAGTTGTCGGAATAAAAAATGTCAAATTTCTATCAATAGGAAACAGACATTACAAATATAAATATAAAATAAATTGCTATAAAACTGAATATGCATGATGTACAAAGATGAGCGATCCAACTTGCACATACCTGTTACATTTTCTGGCCTCCAAAAATACACAATTGCAACGTTGCATTAGCGCCTGAGCTGGTTCAAAGAGCATCTAGGTAGTGTGGAATTAGTATGGACTGTATAAGAGAAGCGTCACTCCGTCGTTGAAACAGTTTTTGGCGAGGTGTCTGAAATGATATTGTGGTATCCAAAATCCTACATGAATTAGCTGTCATGCCTGTGCTATAGCGGGTAGTGAGTAGTGTAAACATCCATAAGGTCACCTGCAGTTAGTGGACTGCAGAACACTGTTCGAAGTGTTTCACGTGTCGCAAAACAAGCAGGAAGTGGGGCGCTGCTATTTTGATGCTCCGATAATGATGTAAAGGCGAATATTGCTATTCCAGCATATTTGAAATTTGAGATATCGTCGCTTAAGTTCTAACACCACGTGATTACCGTCAGTAGACAGTATTTCAAGAATATAAGGTTTCATTTGCGGTCAGACAAACATGGAGGATTATAAAATATACGCTTGTCGTTAGATAGCGAATCCAAAGGCCCTTCGTTCTTTTTGCTCTCCTATAAAGGTGTTAGTTTTGAGTTGCGCGGTGTTAGAACTCAAGCGATGCGAGATGTTCTTTTTATTGTACAGCTGTGATCTTGGTGTAATTATCAAAGAATATCCATTCAACATTTTTGTATGATTCATGAATTGGCAGTACCAAAAAGAAGACAACACAAATTTGATATTCAGTTTTACATCCTACGTCAATGAGCAATGGTAAAAATTTCCAAAGTATTTTAAGTTTTATGTTTTTATGGATATACCCAAAAAGTATGAATTCCTTGTTCGAACATCGGTAGTAGATTAAGTATATTGCGAGAAAGTAGATGTGTTCCATTTGTTATTTCATACTCTTTATAACGTTATTCATTTTCACTGAAACATAAATACGAACTTTGAAAAATAAAGTGATTGTTTTCATCTACAGTGAAAAAGCTTTTAGGATGTAAGCATAAAGCTTGGATATTCTGTTTTTTTTCTGGTTACTAACTTTAGCGTCCTTACACCCATTTCCAAATTTGTGAGCCATTCCAAGCTTTGTTAGAATCCGTGTAGCGGTTATTGAGATTGCACAGTATCAATGAAACCAGAACGACGGGTGGGATATCGCCAGTGAGTGGAACGCTAAAGCACCTATTTGTCAAACCGCAATATTTTCCAGAACAATCTATTTGTCGTATATAGTTTAGCCAGTAAAAATAATAATCTGGATCACCCTGTTTAACCACTATTTCTCTATGACATGCCAGACTACGCATTACTCTGGAGAAATCAATAAAAGGTATGAAACCACTTCAGATGAACCAGCCGCCAGTAATCCTCTTTCTCTTTATTCCTATTCCTTGGTAGTCTCCCGGCAGTAGATCATAAACAAAAAAAGCCTATTGTACAGCGGCGTTTGTGATGGTGTAGCCCCTATAGAATGCGGTTCTTTTCATCTATAATTTATTGCTCCAGGTTCACTCATACTTTTTAGACTGTCGTCTTTGGTATTTTTGGAGACCAGAAAATGTAAGAGCCATGTGCAACTTGAATCGCTCATTTTTGTGTTATTCATTAGATTAAATGTAATGGTGTTTGTGCATAAGCATTTTTTAATAAAATTCGACACAAACATGTAACAGAATTCCTTAATCTTATTTCCTGAAATAATTAAATCGAGAACTACATGAAAAAATATAATATTTTTTTGTTAAGGTATTTGTTGTTCAATAGCAATATCTGAAACTAGATATGATATTCCATAATGAAAATTAATAACCATTTCATTTTTATTTATACGGAAAACGTGAAAAACTGAGAAATGTAATATTTTATAATTAAACCAGAGGAATAGGCGAAGAAGACATTCAGTTCGGGACGTTTGCAAAGATATACATACATATATATATATATATATATATATGTATAATTTGAGACGTGGTCATATATATATATATATATACAGTGAAAGCTCCCATAAGCGGACACTCACGGTTCCGTAACTTTTGTCCGCTTATGGGAGGTGTCCGTTTAAAAGAGAGTATGTAAGTATAGAGTATAAATAACGGGGTATATAATCATGAGGAAATGAGGTATTATAATCATGAGAAAAATGAAACAGAAACTCGCCACATGTTTAAAGTATGTATTTATGCTATATATCTATATAATCTATGTACATATACGCATACAAAAACACAAATGCTTCAATACATGGGTACGAGAATTTAAAAAAAACATTATTCTTTAACTTGTTTAAAAAAGTTTAAAATGTTTGTCTGACGAAATTTCACCATCTTTTGCTGAAGGAGACAATTTTCGTAATAACTTTCTAAATTTTTCAAATGTTGAAATGCAGTGAAATCATCTTTAGCAAATTTTTTCAATATAGAAATATGATTTAGAGCTTCCCCATATGAATTTATCGTTTTTGAACCGCTTAGTGAGTCCACCAGTTCCACTTCTTCTTCTGAGTCGTTTGGACTACCATATTCAAGTTGGCCTGGGCTTTCTACATCCAAATTCGAAAAGTTGCCAATGGCATTTTCTTCTGTTGTTATGTTATTGTCTATGGCCAGGAAATCATCTACTTTCTGGGGATCTGCTACTCCTAAATGTTTGGCATGTCGCAGTAACTGAGCAAGTGTCGCTAAGGGCAGATCGTCTTCAGCATCGCAATAATTTTGCTCAGCAAATTCTGAGCTACATTCACTTTTTCTGAATCCAGCTTTGCCAAAACAGTTTTTAATTGTAGCGGAATTTACTTTATTCCATGCTGTTTTTATAAAATACAAAGCTTCTAACACATTGATAGACTTTGTAAGCTCAGATAAGCTTTGACCATCGTCAATTTTTGTTAAAATATGTTTTAAAATCAAGTGCCGATAATAAAATTTAAAGTTCTGTATGACACCTTGATCCATGGGCTGACAAACAGAAGTTGTGTTTGGCGGTAAAAATATAATTTTCACATTTTTCATTTTCATATCACGAGGATGAGAGCATGCATTGTCTAAAAATAAAAGAACTTGCCTTTTTTGGATTCTCATTTTCCGGTCGAATTCGACTAACCACTCAGACATGATTTCTCGGGTCATCCATGCCTTTTTGTTGGATTTCCAAGTCGCTGGTAGATCCTTAATAGCAACGTTTTTTAAAGCACGGGGACGAGCCGCTTTCCCGATCACAATCAAATCGCATTTTTCACCGGCCATATTTGCACAGAATAAAATGGTTAGTCTATCTTTAGACAACTTTCCACCCACACATGTTTCTCCTTTAAAGGACAGAGTTTTGTCGGGCAATGCGCGAAAAAAAGTCCACTCTCATCTGCGTTGTACACATCTTCTGGTTTGTAGCCAAGCAACATGGACGGAAGTTTCTCCAAAAATTGTGACACATCAACTTGATCTACTGCAGCAGCTTCGCCAGATATGCATTTGAAACTCACACTATGTCTCTTGCGCCACTTTTGCAGCCACCCGTCGGACGCACTGAAATTATTATAGCCCAAAGTAGTGGCGATTTCTTTAGCTTTCATTTTCACTAACGGCCCTGAGATTGGAATGTTCTGACTTCTAGCTTTCACAAACCACTCAAAACATGTTTTGTCTATAGCAAAACCTTCCTTTTTTAAAAAATCCTTCTTTTGATTTATATTAGTTCCTGATTGCCATTTCCTCCTGATATCTTCCTTATTTTTGGCAATTTCAGCTGCTTGCGTTTTCCCAATATTAAACCTCTTTGCCAAATGACGAACTGAAACACTTTCTCTGTCTAATACGTTAACAACTTCCATCTTTTCCTTTAACGTAACTCATCAACTACGAATTTGCCTGAACTGAAGACAAGCCACAAGATTACATACAGGCTACCCAACGAAATGCGTAAATGGGAATCACCTAATATAAATCGGGGAATTACCGAATTTTATGTATGTAGATATGTGCATTGCAATAAGTGGAACTAAAAAATCGTGTATTAGAGTTTCGCGTCCGCTGATGGGAGATTTTTTGATCACATACAGGAAAATCTAGTGTCCGCGTCCGTTTATAAGAGCGTCCGTTTATCGGAATGCATTTAACATTGAAAATTGATGGCTGAAATTCGGTTCCAGGAACTTTGTCCGGTTAAAAGAGATGTCCGCTTATAGGAGCTCTCCGCAAGGAGAGCTTTCACTGTATATATATATATATATATATATATATATGTTAGCGGCGCCGCTGTGACTACCCATAATTCCCTCTCAAGAGGGTAAAATGATATCGTTATCTTCTGCGACGGAAGGAGAAGCACGGGGGGTCCGGGGACGACTACTACCTGCGATACCTCGCACGTAGTAGCGAAGATGACGACAGTCACGTACCTACAGCCAAACAAATTGTGCCTAAATACGAAGTAAATGGTGGTACTCGGAATAAAGTATTGATTGGGGATAGACGTGTATTTTTTTGGGGTGAAAGCCAAATCAAATCTACCCCGTTTCTTACATCAGAAGTGGGATTACATCCGTGCCGCATTTTCCACTTTATATTGGACAAAAAAAAAAGGGAACAATGTCGGAAGAAAACAGTCCTCGTCGCGAAAGTGTCGAAGTCGCGTGTAGTGCCGAAGTGGATACCGAGGAAGTCTCCGCCAACTCCTAAACGGCGGAAAGTTGAGTGGCAGGAGACATTGATGAACTTAGTGGCTGCACAACAGCAACAGTTAGCCGAGTTAACTCGGCAGTCCAGAATGACATCGTCAGAATATGCCAGTCCTATTGTTCTAGTTAAAAAGAAGAGCAATGAGACAAGGATGTGTGTTGATTACCGAGATATAAACAACCGTGTTTATGAAGAAATATACCCCCTACCCGTTATCGAAGAACAGGTGAACTCATTGTCTCACGCCAAATACTTCACTACACTAGATATGAAGTCTGGTTTTTATCAAATGGAAATTGAGGAAAGTTCCAGACACATTACGGCGTTTATCACACCAGATGGGCTCTATGAATTTAACCGTATGCCTTTTGGATATGTCAATGCCCCGGCAATATATCAGCGAGCAATTGACGAAGCTTTGGGAGACCTGAAAGGTAATAAGGCTTTTGTCTACCTTGATGATGTGCTCGTGCCGTCGGCGACAATAGAAGACGGCTTGCAATATCTGGAGGAAGTGTTGAGTGCTTTGGCCATTCACGGATTTTCCTTGAACTATGAAAAGTGTAAATTTTTCGAGAAACAGATAGAGTATCTTGGTGTCCTATTGAGTGAAGGAACAATTCGCCCTAGTCCGAGAAAAGTGAATGCGCTAACCCAATCACCTTCTCCGACAAGTGTTAAAGGTATTCGCCAGTTTATGGGACTCGCGGGTTATTTTCGCAAGTTCATTAAAGACTTCTCCATCATTACGGCTCCAATTACGGCTTTGTTACGAAAAAACCGTGTTTTCGAGTGAACGCCCGAATGTGAGCGGGCAAGGCAATTTATTATGGACAAACTGACCAGTTCTCCTGTATTACGAATGTTCAATCCCGCCCTGAGTTGTGAACTTCACACTGACGCGAGTTCAGTGGGACTTGGCGCTGTGCTGCTCCAAAAAGAAGACTGTGTTTCGCGAGCTGTCGCCTATTATAGCCGTCGGACGACCGATTACGAATCAAGGTATCATTCGTATGATTTAGATACACTTGCTGTAGTGGAAGCTGTTGAGCGATTTCGAGTTTATTTGTACGGAGTGCATTTTGTGGTGTACACTGACTGTAATTCAGTGAGAGCAACTGCTTTGAAGAAAGACTTACACCCCCGTGTAGCACGTTGGTGGATTAAGTTACAGGACTACGACTTTAGCATCGAGCATCGTCCCGGAAGTAAAATGGCTCACGTGGACTATCTGAGTCGAAACCCACCAGAGGAAGAATCTGCTCTGAAGGTGTTTGCTTTGAAAACTATAAACGTGAGTAGACTATCAGATGTCAAAACTTTGCGAAGTTTTCAGGAGCAAGACACATTTTGTTTTGAAATCCTGAATAATCCAGAAATAAATCCCAACTTTATTGTAAAAAAATAATGTCGTTGTGACCAAGTCAAAACCCCATAAGTGTTTTGTTCCCATTGAAGCACGCCTTTTGACAATGAAACTATATCATGATGAATCATCACACATTGGTTTCGACAAGGATTTATTTTGGCCAAAAATGGGCAAATGTTTGTAAAAGTACATTAGAAACTGTCGAGCATGTGTACTAGGAAAATCACATACTGGTCGCAGAGTAGGATGGTGGCAGCATGGCGAAAAACCTGATGATATCCTCCACACTTGGCACATTGATCATGCAGGACCTTTGATAAAATCAAATGGGTGCACGCACATCTTGGTAATAATTGATGCCTTCTCTAAATATTGCCGTCTCCAACCAATCCCAAAGAAAACTTCTGAAGATAGCATCCGTGCTTTGTTACCAGTTTTTCAAGAGCTGGGGACCCGAAACGCATAATAGCTGACAGAGCAGCCGCATTCACATCGGTGACATTCCAGAATTTCCTTAGTGAGCAAGGAGTTCAGTTACATCATATAGCGACTGGAATGCCTCGAGGAAATGGACAAGTACAGCGTGTTATGCGCACATGTTTCAATTTATTGCGAGCTACACTTATGAGC